ATTAGGTCGCTTGCTAATGCTTCACCTGATGCCTCTTAATGTCAAATGAAATCCTTGAGAATTCAGCCTCTTGTTTTCACGGTACAGATAAAGAAACCAAGGCTCAGAAAGTTCAACTCATTGGCTCAAGTTTAAATACCCAGTCTTTAAACGCAGGCCTGGCTCACCACTCAACCAGCTGCCTCACGTTTCCAGAAGAGTAAGGCGGACAGATAAGTAACAGCTCCAGGTGAACAGTTTGTTTCAGTGAGGAGTATTTCACATCAGAAAAGTGCACATAAATGATGCAGGATGCATTTATGAACTGGGGCATAAACAAAAAGTTTTCCAGAGTCTCTACCAGGCCCAAGGCAACTCCTCTGTGGTGAACTTCATCTGTATTGCAAATATCACTTCTGTGTTTATCTATAACCACGAACATAACATAATATTACAGATGACTGGCTCCATGATTTTATGGGGAAAACAATGAAGGCGCAGAAGTTCAAGAGAGCAAGAAAAATTGTGAGTTAGAATTCACAGAAAGCTTTATGAATTTTGCAGCCCTGTAATGTAAATCCCAGAGGGGAAAATACTTGAATTGAGACACTTTCCCTCAGAAATCTTGAGAAAATCTTGACATCTTAATTCATTTCCTGGACTTAAATATTCTAGGCTAGTCTAGCGGTACTGTAATAGGCTGGGCAAACATTTTTATTTATTTCACTGCTGATACTAATATTTGTGCTACAAGCTGCTGCCTCCATTTGCTGCTATTTATTTATTTCCTACAGATCAAATTATTGGGCCCAGATATAACATGTTTCCCGGCAAAGAGCTCCTTGTGCTCAGGAGCAAATGGAAAATGCTTCCATTGTAAATGTGGACTCTGCCACATGACTGAATCAATTCGGGTTCGAAATATGATCTAAAACTGCTTGAAATTCACACCTCCGTATGCAGAGCCAGGGAGCAGCGGAGCCCAACATGAGGGAAATCAAGCAAGTGCCTTGGGTGCTCAAAGTGTCAGAATCCTGTGACCAGCTCTGGGTTGGTCCCTTGGCCTCTCTGAGCCTAAATTTTAGTATCCTCCAGTTCTCATCACCCAGTTTGATTGGGTTGACATCAGAACAAATGAGGAGATGTGAATGGATCTTGGTAAAACTACAAAGTTCTGCAGAGAAGTAATGGATGCTTTCTTCTAATTATTATTAGTGCAGGATCTCTAGGATGCAAACAGACTGGATTTGCTTTTTCTTGTCTGTGTAAAGAAATAGAAAACAGAACAGGAAAAAATTGAAACCAAATAAAATAGCTCTTGCAAAGAGCAAAATAAAAGATAAAAGGAAACAGGGAGGTGGCTCTTTCTCAAATGGGAAGGGGACACGAGATGGTGTGGGGGTGGCGGGGGGAAGGGATGGAAAAGGGTACTGCACGGTGTGCGCATGGACCAACTCCTCACAACAAATGCAATCATTATGCACTGAGAACAGGTACTAAGAAAGATTTTCAAAAAGACACTTGGAACATACAGACTGAAATCTTAAAGCAGTACCTTTTCGGGGCACCTCACGGCAACATGAATATCGTGGCGAGTAACTCTGGAGTTCCAAAGAAGTCAACCTGGAGGGTGCAGAGTCAGTCCCCAAAGCCCTAAGCATCTCAGGCTGTGACACCTCTTCCCCATCCCTCATTGCTCACACTTGCAGGATTCTGGAATCAGCAGTGATGGCTCGCCCCTCTGTTCTATCACATCCTCTTTTTACTTAATCTCCTTGAGTCTCCATTTCTCACCTGTCAAATGCATATAATGTCTCCCTCACACGTCTGTTGTGAAGACTGAAGGAGAAGATGTATGTGCAAAGGCTTTGTAAATTGTGGTGGCTTCTTGGGAGACCAAGTTATTTTGACAATTCACTTAAGGTGATCTGGACACCCTTTGAAGATGTCAGTATCTGCTTAGTGTGGAAAAAAAATGCGTTGACAAGAATATGAACAGGATGGATAGAATTTGGTTTAACTATATATGTATATGTCCCTGGTTTCTTTCTTCCATATTTCAGTCCAGGTTTTGGTACTTAAAGATAAGACATGGACTTCCAAAGGGAAAGTTTTCTAAAAGTAAATCCTCACTGAATGCTGTAAGAAATGGTGAACTGACATAGTGAAATGCTCAACCTGAAGCCTGTATTTCTCCTTGCTAGCCACTGAGGCCAGAATTTTTTTTCTCCCAATAAACGTGCTACCACCCAGCACACACTTCAGCTCCACTCAGGTCTTCTGACTGCTCTGCTCTCCAGTTCTTGTTTAACCTACAGCTACACAGGCAAATGTATCGGGCATGCTCACCTTCAGAGATCTCCCGGGAATCCTGTGTTATTTATTTATTGTTTCCAATTTCAAAGTATACATGAATGAAACTCAGTACTTTAGTCTGCAGCAGAAACACTATCATGAAGTTATACATATTTTAATGCGATGCTTTAGAAGGTTATCAAAAACTGATTTAAAAATCCCCAGCCATATGAAGAGCTTCTTGCCATATTTCATGAAAATCACTGTGGAAGATTTTAGCTATGCCATGTTTTCCTGGGTTGTCTTGTAAAAAGACCTTGCGGTGTATTTCCTATATAATTTAGCACAGTGCGATGTTGTCTTTGGTCTCTGAATTTATTGTTTTGTTTATTTTTTAAATCAGACAATGAAAATTTAAGCTCCGTGCGGGAGAGACCTAGGTTTGTGTGCTTACTGTTGTGAACTGCAGGATACTGCTTTGCATAGGATAGGGACTCAGAATTATAGAATAAATTGATCCAATCATAATTTCTCCTTTTATGTTAGTTACAAGGAAGCTGAAGGCTAAATGCAGTAATTGTATTAGCTTATGTTGCTGATATATTTATTTCCCTTAACAGTTCTGCCTTTATGTTTTCCATTTTGTTTATATGATCTCACACATGTTAATTTTACTTGAGGAATTCAGGCATTGCTCCTTAATTTTTAAAGATTTTGCCATCTATTCTTTGCCAAATTCTTTCTTTTAAATGATATTAAAAAGAAGATATGGTAAATGTACTTTAAGATTTAGATTGTTTTTAAGATACCCACTTTGACAATTAGAAGCACATGTTCTTGTATTTATGGATTTTAAAGTACGATCTGTGGAGAGAAAGTGGAGTGACTGGTAAGGGCTCTAAAATCTATAGTATTAATGACCTGCAAGGAGAGAGCGAGAGCATGCTAAGATCACCCCTTCCCTCTTGTCAGGGAGACTGTGAAAGTCCCTCTAGCCAGGCAAGAGGCTGAGACACTGAGTTAGCTATGAGGACACAACATGCTTCTAGGAAAAAGTCCCTGGGGACTTTTTAGCTGGTGGGGTATAAATTAAGAGAACAACGACATGCTGACTCTCCATTTTTCCAAAATCTGTGCCTAAAACTCAGAATATGAAAATACTATTACAAGCTTAGGAATGCCAAGGAACACGGTTATTTCAATAGTTCCTACAGAGGGATATTCGTTGCACTGTAATAGAGACTATTAGTGAAGACAGGCATACAAAGTAACTTCTAGCGCAATGTTATGAATGCAAGCAATGCTTAACTGTGATATTATAACAAATCAGAGATGATTTAAAGTACACAGGAGTGTGTGCTGGGGTTGTGTGCAAATACTACTCCAAGTTACACAGCGCCCCTAAGCATCCTGGGTACTGGAAAGGGTGCTGGAAGCAACTTCTCATTATATATGAATTAAGGGACAACTGCAAATAAAAGATGCACATCTCTTCAAGATTTTTCAATGAACGTAAGAGCTGTGAGGAGTTCTGGGTAGAAGACCCTTTGGTTATCTTTGCTCTTCCCAAACGTCCTGACCACTGACCCACATTTCATCCAGGAACATTATTAGTATCTCTCCAGGACGTGTAGGGTATGGCTACGTGGTGTCAGAACTGGTGAGTTTTCCATATGTTACTATTGTTCGTGGTAACTCCAGGCTTCTTGCATATTCAAAGTTTTATTTCCATGTTGCAGAGCATGGAGCTAAAATACGGAAATTTAAAAAGGAATATCTATATTAGTTCCAAAATGTGAGATGTGAGGGCTGTGTCAGTCAAACCTCTGGTTGACAACCTGTTTTTAATTCCATAGGAATATTTTCTATACTTAAATCAGAAATACTCCTTAGTGAAAATGAAATTTCAGAGAGAATGAAAGCCAGTGTATCTTGTAAAAGGTAGGAAGTAACTCTTGATGGAAAATTACCTGTAAATCTGGACGTGAATGATTAATGCCTTCGAAATACTCCCCATGCTGCTAACAACATCAGCCTTAGCCCATATTTCCATGAAACATACAAGAATCTGCCGTGTGGATCCATAGATGTTTTCCCTCATGCTAAGAGAATCGTATCAGAGACATATATTCCTCAAAATAAATTTGTATAGTTGCCGAAGATTATAGTTTTGTGTAATATTCTTCAAAACTTTGCTTGTTTGGGAAGCTACATTCCAATTCCTAATTAATTAAAGCAAATTATTTTTTAAATAAATTATACATACTTTTAAAACTTTGTATCTAAATAGGCACACCATGTATTACTATTTGTAAATATTCTTTCTAGCTTTTCAGAGACTAACAAACTTTTTTATTGTTGACTTCCTTATGAAAATTCAAATAAAGACATTTGCATTTATTATAATACACTGCCAAAAATTGCATTAATTTCCACGATGCCCATTCATTTGATAAATGTTTTGTCATTTGTACCATTTGCACTGTCAAAACAAGTTAATTATAGCTTACTGACATTTTTGACAATTGCTTTAACTTTGGAAGGAAAAAGTCTTATTTGTTTCAACAAAAATTTTATTTTTTTCCCGCTGAAAGCTTGGACTAGGCAAGAGAAGACCAGCTCCAGTTGGCAGTCTTACAGGGTTCAGTTTAGAGAAAATGACAGACAGCATCACCCCAGGACTTGTATAAAAGTGCTTGTGTCATAAATGGAAAAATATTATGTACCTGCATAATCTGTTCTCGCGTAATGCCCATCTTCAGACTTAGTAGTTGTAGTTGTATTATCTGTGTTGAAAAAATTAACAAAAAAGACCAATTAGACGTTTCCTAAATATTTCAAGTTTATTCCTGCAACACCACACACCACCTTCACTGCAGTTGATTTTTTTCTACAAGTCCAAGTCCAAGCAACGGTCATAAACAGTTAATTTCAATGCATGTTTCTGTTTGGGAGCACGAGCACTAGAATGAAGGCAGCTTCCTAGTTTGGCACAAAGAGCAGCTTCAGAATTGTAAGTGCAGGAAATGGAATGAAGGAAGTCCTGGTCAAAACCCCAAACATGTATGCTTCTGAACAAAGCCAGAGCAGAACATTCTCGTGCAGTACATCCTGCTTTTAGAAAGGCAACTGAAATATTTCTACTGAATCAATACATAAAAACGGAGTGATCTACTTTTAATTTTGAGGTTTCCAATGAATTCTTGGAGTCTTTGTTAGAAGTGCTTTTGACTTTCTTTTTAGCCTTCACAGGGAGAATATCTACTCTCTTCTGAATATAGGCTTCTGTGTTCGTTGCATTGTGACAATACGGTTCCATTATGTAGCAAAAGACGTAGACTATTCCTGATAGGCCTGTGAACACCTATAATCAGCACAAATGCTACAGTGGACCCTACTGCCATTGTCAATCAGAACTGTCTTTTGGAAATGAAACAGCTGCCTAATAAGGTGCTATCTGCACTTTCCATTTCTGCACAAGGACTAAAAACATTCTTTGAGATGAATTTCGGTATGAACTTACCTTGACATCGACCCAAAGACATGACTTCAATTTTCTCCTGTTTCTGACATGATGCTTCTTTGATCTGACATGCGTTATCATAAGACTTCCCATCCGAAGCACAGAGGGGATTGAAGTTGGTTTGGGAACAGTCGATGTTGCACACACACCTAGAGGAGGAGAAAAACAGAAACATGTAGCGTCAGTAGTGCGGTGACCATAACACAAAGCACAGAGGAGGGAGCTGCTAGTTGGCAAACGTGAATGGTACCCTCCCAAGGAAGCGGTTTCACTTTTCTACCTCCAGGGAAAAGAACTAATCAGAAATGAAAAATTCAAAGGGCCTAGCAATGGATGAGAAATGAAAAGACGAAACTTCAGAAAATGATCATCACTTAATCTCTGCCCTGGAACTTTTAAGACGCATCCATAAACTGCCGTAGTGGCGCCTCCAGAACCAGAACAGGCGGAGGTACCAAGAAACTGTATCCAGTCTCCTTCGGGGAAATCCTCCCTTCTTTCCCAAGCCTATCAGAATGGGTAAAGCTTAAGGAGGAGGATGCAGCAGAGTTAAGAGAAAGCCGACAAGTGAGTGGTCTGCAGGTCGAGCAAGAACAGGCATAAAAAGTCCTACATGGGAATCTTCAGTGATCCTTACCGTTTCTGGGTGCCACAAAACCCTTTGAGAATCAAAGGAAAGCTGTAGAAGCAACCACTCTCACATAAACAACCACTCGTGTCACAGGGACCTGCTAAGCCTCTTAGACAGATCCCTTTCTCAGGTACGCACTGATCGCACTTCTCTTAGTGGAATATAATTATTAAAAAATAACTATTCTTTAATAAAGATTCTTATTATAAAGTAATAAATAGGAGTTGTCCTTCGTGATTTTAATATTGTTTTCTTTAGTCTAAATAAACTTTCGGTGAATTAATAGGAACTGGATCACTTAAACGAGAAGAATCGAACATTTTAAAATAAGCTTTATATGATTTTTAACATTTTCATAATTCTTTGTATTTTATAGTCTGCTTTGTTCTTCAGAATATTGTATTTTTTCGGTGTGTTTGCAAACCTGCCACTGCCTGGGAATATGAACTCATATTTAAAATGTTTATTAATATTTATATTATTGTTATAAATAAAGTATATGTTTCTCGAAATTGTGAATCACACATTTTAGTTCTAAACATCTTCCACAGAGCTGAGCCTAGAATATAAAGATGAGAGCAGCCAGCTGGCTATAGTCTGGATTCTCCACACGCACTGTTTTATTTAATCCTCACTCACCACGTTGCTTTCCTGACCAAGATATTACATAATAGCAGAGAGACAGTAAATTGTAGTGCAAGGACCCACTTACAGATGTGTTAAGCTAAAACCCAGCTTCCTGCTGTACCACCACAGGCCATGAATTAGGAGTCTCCCCAGGGCTTTTCAATGTACAGGTTCATAAGCAGATTCCGGCCGCAGGGAACCTGGGGCTGGGCTTCGGGCGGGCCACGTTTCAGCAGGCATCCGCCCAGAGCTGCTTCCTGGCTCGCGGCTTGCTTGGTTTGTCCGCACACTCAGGGTGCAGTCCGGAGACCGCTGTGTCAGACTCACCCAGACTGTTGTTAAAATGCTGGCAGGAAATACGCTCATGCAAATTTGCACCTGGGGCTGCTTCGGGCGGGCCACGTTTCAGCAGGCATCCGCCCAGAGCTGCTTCCTGGCTCGCGGCTTGCTTGGTTTGTCCGCACACTCAGGGTGCAGTCCGGAGACCGCTGTGTCAGACTCACCCAGACTGTTGTTAAAATGCTGGCAGGAAATACGCTCATGCAAATTTGCAAAAGAACTGCTTGAAAACACTCGGCTATTTCTATATCCACCTGTTTAGGAACACATAGCTAGGACAGACCGGAGCCATCCTTAAATGCTCCCCTCACTGAGGTAGAGACCACAGCATCGCCGCCAGGCTGATTACAGACGTGTCTGCGAGCACCCGAGGTCAGCATGGCTCCACCTTCACACACCTTGGTCCTTCCTAGGACAGACTTGGAGAAGTGGACGGCAGGCCAGCCTTGCTTTAACCATTCGCACTAAACCCACAAGGCTGGGAGAGACTTGGCTTTTTTATTTTAAGGTGATTATTTTTGCTTTCAAACAAATTTAGATTTTGACTGTCAGTATTTTGAAGAGTCGTAAAAATTATCTATTATCAGTAGAAGAACAGAAAGAAAGGTATGCTGTCTCATCTATCTGAATAGTAAATAGGAATAATATTAAAGGTTTTGCAAGTATCCACGAATGCAAAGAAATTGAGAATGCATAATATGTATCTGGACCAATAGGCACTGGCAGCCCTAAAATCTATTTACTATCCTAACAAAACAATCAAATGTTACAATAAAGGTGACAGGAGAAAATGAGGTTGAATTGAATTGGCCAGAATCAATGTTTCAGTGAAAAATTCATTGAATTAAGCTCTAGCAGCAAGTTAAATAATAGTTCAGGATATTTCACAAGAGCCTCCTTTTCGAATGGCTACTGTTTTTGCTTCTTCTAGTTCCACCGATTTGATTTGATTCTTACAGATTTGATGCCTGTACCTTCTTCCTTTTCCTTTCCTAGCACTGTTTGTTCAGGACTTCCTTTTAAGATGTGTTTCCACTCCGGAAAGTCCTGGCTTTTGCTGACTCAAATAAAATCTTCCAGGGGATAGCTAAGAAAATGGCATAGATATATGGCATTTTTATTCTCAACTCAAAAGGAGGACATAGATTCCCTGAGATAAAAGTAAGATGTAACTCTCCCAAAACTTATATTCTTGTCACTTAGTAACTGCTTGTCGAATGGATCACTGAGATTCAGACTTCACTGAGAACATGTGTACTGGTCTTCTCTTCCATTGTTTACCTTCACTGTGTCTCCCTCTTTCCTTTCTGCTCACTGGAAGTGCATTATTAAATAAACAGAAAAGTAAATTTTTAAAAAGGACTTTATGAATCTCAGTATTTGCTGAAAACTGGAAACCTGTGGGGAGTATTTGTCTTTTCAAAATACACAGAAAACACTTCAAAGATTTGCTTAAATGGCTGGAAAACTATGTTGTCTTGAGAAGGAAAATGCTGTGACTGGATTACCAAGGATCCATCGTTTCTGTTTCCATAAGACCAATAAACTCTAATTACATCATCATCCTTTATTATAGTTGGTATATCTGAGTCCCTTAAACTTCATTAACTAGAAAAACAGGCTGAATTCCAAGATCATGGTCTGAAGTTCTAAGTTCATCTTGACCTCTGTTGGTGGATTGATTACCTTAGCATTCTCCACCCCGCCCAGTACTCGGGACTCACAAAAGTTTCAATACCTATATGTTGAGTAGATAACTAAATGAAATGAATGGATACAGAAACCATTTTGTATTCTCAAAGAAAGGCAGCCACTGCTGCTGTCTCCACATTACAGATAAGGAAATTGAGTCTTGGTGAAGTCACACAGTCTGTCAGGGGAAGAACTTGACTTCAAACCCAGGCGGTCTGACGCCAGGGAGAACATTATTCTGCATATGGCAAGTTCAAGGAGAAATATGATAGATGTCCCTTTCCACCAACTGCTTCAGGAATACTGTGGAGGAACAGGATTTGAAAAACAATGCTGCGTCTACTCTGGGAACATTAATTGTGAGTTTATGAATTTACATCAACTCAATTTTTCTCCCCAAACAAGGGATCCAGGCTTTCTTGTATCACTGAGATGCATGGGTAAACGTCGGTTTTAAGACACTGTGAACTAAAATATGGTGTTAGAATTAATAACTAATCTTATGTGCATGACATTCACTATTTAAAGCATCAGTTCTTCTGAACATTTTGATTTGAAACACACTATGTAAAGTTGGCTCCACATGAAAATTCCCATTTAAACACACACACACACACACACACACACACACACACAGGCACACAGGCTACTGGAATGTTTGGAAGGGCACAATCATAGGCTCAGAGGGCCCTATGTGTTTACATCAGTGAATGAATTGTGTGTGTGGAGGGGCAGGCTCATACCTCCCCCATGGTCACACTCACTGTACCATTCATGTGCTTATTGACTAGTTTTTGTATTTTTATTTCTGTAACCTTTTGAAAGGCAAGGTATCTCCTTAATCCTTGATTTCGGGTTCTAAGCTCAGTGTATTGTAGCTGGTCTCAATAAATAAAAAGAATTACTGAGAGAAGTTACCGACGACAGTTGGAAGGATTTCAAGAGAGCAGTCATTGTGTTCCACATTAACACTTCTGAGGTGTCTTAAATTAAATTAAAAGCACTGGAAGGGGCAGAAGGGAGGAAATGGAGGAAGGTAATCAGTAAACAAATGTGGGAATGCTGACTCACACCCCAGCTGATCTCCACGTGTCACTGCAACCAATTTATGAAGTGAACTTTCTTAACTATTTCGGTTTGGATCAAAAATGTCCCCCAATGTCCTATGTGTTCAAGGTGGATGGGGCTCTCGGAGGTGCTTGGGTGATGAAGGTGCTAACCTTGTTAGTGGATCAATCCACTCAAGAGTATGTAGCTCAGTGTGCTATCAAAAGGTGGGGCCGAGTTGGAAGAGGCAGTTCACTGTGGTGCAAGAAGCGTATGTTCTTGTCCCTAGCCATATCCCCTGCCTCTGGTTCTCTGATTCTCTCTCTGCTTCTCTTTACTATGAGGTGAGCAGCTGTCCTTTGCCATGCTCCTCTATCTCGATGTTTCTGCCTTGAAGCCAGCCAAGCATGGACCGAAACCATAAGCCAAAGCAAATTTTCTACCTTTAATTTGTCTACGCCAAGTGTTTTGTCCCAGGAACAAGAAGCTGACTAATAATGTCTGAACCTCAAACGACCTTGAAGCACCACCCATCCCCAAAGTTTTCTGGATTCAGGGTATCTCACTGCTTTCATCAAGAGCCAGCACAAATTCACTCTAAACAACATATGTTTCACTTTCTCAAATTTCATCATAAAATACTCCTTCTCCTAGGTTCAGTGGATGCAGCCTCTATTGCTCTCCACCCTTGCTAATGTGGTGGTCAAGTGATATCCCAGGACGTGGTCCTTTCTATCTCTGATTTCTGTAATGGCTCAATAAACCCTTTACTTCAGAGAAACATTTTCTTTTGGCTGAACAATATCTGCAAGA